AATATATATAAGGCATTTCTATAGAGATACTAATATATACACACATATATACATGCAATTGCCGATCTGTAAAGTTCATATAACCTACAGGTTTATAAATATAACCAACTCACCAAATAAAAAATACATTGATCGTAGGTGAGCACAAAACAAATTCACCAAGTGCTTACATATAATAATGAAAGAAGAAATGACAAGCTACAATGATAAAGGACTTGAGTCCTCATATGTGCATCAAAGAACACCAAACTGACCTGGAGGGGAATGGTGATCAAACCGCCACAACAAACTCCAGCAAAGAAACACTTAAAAAATGCCCTGCACTCAGGTAAAAACGTGTCATTCCCAAGTCAATCCAAGCAAATACCTACAAAAAGTACAATGAAATTATGAACTAACCAAGCTTAATGGATTTGCTATAATCTTGTTATACAACACTACCTCAATATTTATGGGACTACGTCAACTCATTACTAAAAATTTGAATCATTCATAACTTTGCACATTTTAAACATAATAAAAAGGATCTAAATCAATGAAACGAATTTAGGCTACATAATCACGATACATAAATTGGTGTGTGTAAATCATTCCCCTCTCTTTATCATGAGTAATACAATTTTTAGGCAAATTGCAATCAACTTGTCTTATGTTTTTTCTTTGTTTAAATAGGTGTGTAAATCATACCACCGATGGTTACCTCTTCTTTTATGTTGGAGCTCTCAAATACAAGTGATACATAAAAGTTTTCACACAATAGGCAGAGTCAAGTTAATAAGTTGCAGCCTGGAATAAATTTGAATAGAGATAGCACAAACTAATATACTACTTGAAACGATGAATGATGAATACATGCCGTATGATACATGAAACATCGATGCTATCTGTTAAATACATTACAGAATAATATACATACCTAGATACGAAAACATATATTGAAATTCAATAGTGTCCCCCAAATTGTTAGCAACAGGTATGTACAACATATCTCATTAAGCAAACTAATCCAAACTATCCACAAAAGCTAACTGTCACCACGCCACCACACCACCACCTACGCCTGTCTGTCCACTCCCAAGTCCTACTCATATGAGAAACATGAGGCCGAGTGCAAACACACATACTACTGTGAACTACATACAGCTACATGGTTCCCAGTATTCTCGACACCAACTCTATTCAATCTGCTATGTAGAAACGCAGCAACTTCAATGGTTTCACACCTTTTCCTAGCACAAATAAATCAAAAGACTAAAACTTGAATTTTCTATTGACTCTAGTTAATCTCAATTTTAAAAGGAAATCAGGTGCAGTAACCTACAAAAACCTCAATTCCTTCTTCAGATTGGGAAGGGAAATGAAATCCCGTCGAGCAATTCTCCAACATTTTTAGGGGTTTCTAAACGAGTTTGTACAAGAGAAGAAACTAGCTCTTTCACTCCGTACTGTACAAGAGAGCCGAGAGATTTTTTTTTATTGCACTGAAATTGAATTGCAAAGCCAATTATTACGGATTCCTTTAACCTCATTTCATCAATCACAGGAGAAAATTCACAAAACATTGAGCAGCACAGGGAAGAGTTCAAACTTCAAATATCTATAATATCGTAAGCATTACCTAATTCAAAATTACCTAAATTTTAGAGGGATGATGGTTGGTACTTGCCTTGGTACTGGTAGTAGCAGTGTCCTCGACGGTGGTGATAGGGTGATGATGGTGGTTGCGACGGCGGAGGTGGTGATGGGGGGGTGATGATGTTGGTCGGAGTCAAGGTGAGCACTGTGAGTCGGAGTCGCGACAGCGCTGTGAGAGTGGTGAGCACTGTGAGTCGGAGTTGAGGGAAGGGATAGGGAGTGGATTCGAGGAAGAGGGATAGGGAGGGACTCAGGGAGAGGGAGTCAAGGGAGAGTTTGAAAATCCGAGAGACTCTGAGGTTGCTGAGGGAGGCTGAGGAGGATGCTTCTGGATGGAACTCGGGACTCGGGGAAGGCTGGCTAGGGTTGAAAGTTGAAAACTTGAACTGACGGTTGAGATTGGATGGAGAGATGATATTAAATCTCGTCCGTCCAATCTAATACAAACGGGCCGGTCTGGGTACCCGCGGATCCTATAATTTTGGAATCGGCCCGCCCCTAAAACTTCAATTAGCCGGCCCGCCCCGCCCCTTTCTATTTTTACAAAACTAAGAACTGGACCGTACCCGCCCCGTACCCTTATTACCCGCCCCTACCCGCGGGTCCAGGACCCGTTTGCCCAGCCCTATCGTCAATACTAAAATGTGGATGTTCATAAACCAATCACTACCTTCCAAATAAGTTTTAAGCATTGCAAAATGGATGATCGTTCTTGCTTTTTTCAAACTTATCTTCATTTTTTCTTAATGTTCACAATTTGGCAGTCATCAACATTATCAACTTGTTTCACTCTTTCTCCATCATAAAACAGGTTAAGCAATCCATCATGTGCATCATTTGCACCAGATCCATCATTAAAACATCATTGGGTACCAACTTTCCAGATCCATCATTGTGCTTATTATGTTTTCCACGTGTCGATGCTCTGTGGTTATGTGCCAAATGGTTCACATGTTTTGGAACCAACACCACTGGAATTATATAGAAAGATTTGAGTTACGAAGAAGAACCAGTTGTTATTCTTTATTGGAGAGATAAAACTCTTTGAAACAAGGTAATTCTGGTAAAAGTTATGTGGAGAAACCACAAGATAGAAGAAGCTACTTGGGAGAGGGAAGAAAACATGAGAGCTCAATATCCACATCTTTTTTTACTAGTTGAGTTGTAGAAATTCCAGGACGAAATTTTCTTACGGGGTTAGATTGTTATGACTCGTACCTTAAATAAATTTATTTTATTCCCCAAAAAGTGTGAAATGACGAAAATGCCCCTGGCGAGGTTTATATTGAATAATTTGGATCACTGAGTTTGGTGTGCAATTCTTGTGTTTTCTCATTATGTTGAATTAGTATTCATTATCACAATTGCATGAGCGAAGATGGATTCGAAAATGAACTTATGGCAAATAAGTTAGGATTTTTAGTATGTGAGGACCAAAATTGTAATTTTATCATGGGAAAATTTGAGTGGTTGAAGACCCAACTCGGTCTGCCATCTCTCTTCTTCTCCCTCGTTCTCTCCCCAGCTCTCTCTGCAACTCTCTCTAACCTCTCCCTCACCGAAGGCAACCACCTACACCATTATCAATCTCACCCAAATTCCAACTTCAAAACCGGCAATTTAAGAATCAGAGTGTCCTAAGGACCACATTGGAGGTCTTACATGTGCGATCTGGTGATGGGAGAGCGGAGAACAAGAGACTTCGAAACCACTAACGTTTTTCGACGAACTTCGTGGTGAAAATCGACGAACTAGCTGTCGATTGAGCTCAAGTTAGTTCTAAATTGATTCAAGGTATCATTTTCAATATGTGCATGTTGAAATTGAGCTGACAATCAAGGTTTTAAAGTCTATTCATCGCCTGTGTATTTTTCTAGAATCCGGCGGGGAACTATGGCTAGTTTCTATCAACCCAAACTGTCCTAAATTGTGTTTGGGTAAGTAGTTTAGGTGTTTTTGTGAAGTTTGGATGAGAAATTCGAGCTAAAACAAAAGCTCTATTCTTAATTTAGAAAATCCGGCTCCTAATAGGACTATGCCTTCTTGGCACCCACCTGGATATTTTTTGAATTATCTCTTCAATCCTCTCTTTAATCGAAACTCAATTTCTATTTGGTCTCAACTTCTGTGCCTTGAACTCGGACTATGAACCTAGTGTTTTTTTCATACACTTCATTCATTCTTGTCTGATCAACCACCACTTTTGGTTCATGTAAGTTGAATCTTATCAAGCCTGTCCTCATCCTTAATAATTTCAATTCAACTAGGACTCGAGACTCGACTGGGCCGTGTCCAATTTGATCCCTTAGCAATCACGGCATGAAATAAACACGGGACTAAGCCAAGATGTAATCTAGCCTAGTATGTGAGGGTTTATTCAATTGGGAATTTGAGAGATTTTAATGGATTTATAAATTCATGGATTTTTATGGAGTTTTATTGATTTGTAGAGATTCCATGTAAAATTTTAATTCAATTCCCTCGAAATCTCATAAATCTCATAGGGAGAGGTGAGATTTGTGGATACTTAAAATACACTACAAAATCTCTCTAATTCCCTCTAATTCCTCAATTTTTCCAAATTCTTTAAATTCTAATTCTAATTGAATACACCTGAAATGTTATAAATTTCTTTAAAATTCTAATTGAATACACTCGGATTTCTAAGGATTTTAATAAATTATCTTAAAATCCTAATTGAATTTCAGAGAATCATTTAAAATCCTGATTGAATACGTCTAGATTCATTAAAAGAATTAAAATCCCTCAAAATCTCAATTGAATACACCTTCTTAGTAAAGTCAAACAAACAGCCCTTGAAAGTATAAACTAGAGCAATAAGGTTTCTTTTTGTTTTGTTTTGTTTTTTTTGTTTTTTTGATAAAAACTATAGCTGTAAGTGAATTGTAGCAAACATCAACTTATATGTGGACACCAAATGTTAGGTTCTTAATACAGTGGTGGCCCCACCCGCCCAATCAACCTGCTAATCTCACCCTCACCAAAACCTCGACGCGTCACTCACTCTCACCGCCACTCATCCTTGGCCACGTCTCGACTGGGCCACGTCTACCGTGGACGTCAAACCAGCCTCAGAACACAAAACGACAACCGAAAGGGGCAAGCCAGCTCCGTCCCCCAACTACATGTCGTAAGCCTAAAGCACAGGAGCCTCCCCAGCTCGCTCCCCGCCACGTGTCAGCGAGTTCCCGGGAACCCTGGAACCTTCCACGCTAACACGTGCGTCCATCGAGCGATCGTAGCCGTAGCATGCTCGGCCGCTGCCACTTGGAGATGGGGACACGTGTCGTGGAAGTATCGGCCCCAAAAAGATTATTTAATCTTATCCAGAGGGAGTTACGAAGCAAGCTCTTTCGTTCTATAAATGCAGGAGCTTCACGGGCCTCCTTTTTCCCACACAAAATTTTCAAATCCCAAAAACAACGATCCGAATATTCAAAATTCAGAAAAGCTCACCGACTGGAAAGAGAAACTGAATCTCCAAAAGGAAAAGGCAGAGGCGAAAAATTCATAAACTTTTTGTAAAAAATTTGAACTTTTGAATTCAATTTTATTTTTTTCTCACCTTTGGGCTTAATTTCTGTTTGGCTACAAAGAAAATGGCGTTGAGCATGACGCACCAGATCAGCGCGCTCTCCGGGACTCCGATTAGGACGACCCGACGCCAGCTCATCATCCGTGGAATCGGTCAGCGCGTCGCCAATGTGGAAGTCTCCGGCGGCGGGTCTGACTTGCAAAATTCAGAAGCCGGAAAGGGTTGACGGGCTGTCGCCGCCGTTGAGTCCGTGCAGATCGCCGGTTCTCGGGTCGAGCCGGCCGGATCTGTCCATGGCGTGCAGGGCGTTCGCGACGGAGGCGGAATCGCCGGTCTGGAGCACCAGGTGAGGGGTGCGCACGATAAGGGGACGGGAGTGCCGGTTTACGTGATGATGCCGTTGGACAGCGTGACGATGCACAACTCGGTGAATCGGAAGAAGGCGATGAACGCGAGTCTGCAGGCGCTTAAGAGCGCTGGGGTGGAGGGTGTGATGATGGACGTATGGTGGGGGTTGGTGGAGAGGGACGCGCCCGGCGCGTACAATTGGGGCGGGTACGCTGAGCTTCTCGAGATGGCGAGGAAGCACGGTCTCAAAGTACAGGCTGTGATGTCGTTTCATCAATGTGGCGGGAACGTCGGTGACTCCGTCACGTGAGTCTCCTTGTCTCTCTTACTTCATTTCCATCTTTGATTTTTTCACGTTTTTGTCGCTTGGTTTTTTATTTTCACTTTCACGTGCGATAGTGGAGCGTTGGTGCACGCCCCTTGTGTGAACAGAAAGTAAATTTCGGTGCAGTGTCATAATTTAATTAGTTGTAAAATTTATTTTTCCAAGTTTTTAATCAATTTAATTTATACTTGATGTGCTGGCTCAGCTCGCGGCACAGAAAAATCTCTCGTGTTTTGTGGTTTTAATGACTTATTTGTACGCTGGTTGGATTGGATGCGTTACAAGAATTGTTTTATACTCTTCCTGAAATTTGACTAGCTCGAAAACTATGTCCTGTTTTCCATTTTTATTGACATTGAACGTGAAATGACATTGTTACATGGAATTCTGAAAATTCATGGCTGAATAGTCTGTTTTTCTTGTATACAGCATTCCTTTACCCAAATGGGTTGTGGAGGAGGTCGATAAAGATCGAGACCTTGCATACACTGATCAGTGGGGAAAGAGGAATTGCGAGTATTTATCGCTGGGCGCTGATACCCTCCCGGTCCTCAAGGGCCGCACGCCGGTCCAGTGCTACGCGGACTTGATGCGTGCCTTCAGAGACAACTTCAAACACCTTCTTGGTGACACCATTGTGGTAACACTTGAGGCTCTTTTACTCTTAATAGTTGAATTTTGTTTTCTGAGTTGGCTGCGATTGTGACCGCTACTTGCTTATGAAGAGTTTAGGACATTAACGGACTAAAATGAACCCCATGTGTGAGATTTGATGTGTCTCTGAGCGTCTCTATTATTTTTGCCGCAATTTGAATCTTGAAGTTGACTCTCATGTGTACGAGGATGATACGTATAGTCGCTATAAATCCAACTAAAAAGGAATGCCAAAAAAGGAAATTAAGTGAAACCAAATAGATAATGAATGTGTTCTCTTTTTCTTTTCTATTTTTTTTATGACAAATACATGGGTCTGCAATAGTGTTGAATCCTTAGTTAGAACCTGCTGATACATGCCTTGCTTGTTAAGCTAAATTGTTTCAAAATTCTCCTCAGGAAATCCAAGTCGGAATGGGTCCAGCAGGTGAGCTGCGTTACCCTTCGTATCCAGAATCGAATGGGACATGGCAATTTCCAGGAATTGGCGCCTTCCAATGTTTTGACAAGGTATCTACTTTATCTCTTTCTGCTCTCTGCCAGTAGCTTTTAGTTTTGTAAAGCGCAACTAATATTTGATGTAACATGATGCAGTATATGCTCAGCAGCTTGAAAGCTGCTGCTGAAGCTGCGGGTAAGCCAGAATGGGGTAGCACAGGCCCCACTGATGCAGGTCACTATAACAACTGGCCGGAAGATACCCCATTTTTCAGAAAAGAAGGTGGAGGCTGGAACACTACTTATGGTGAATTCTTCCTCGGCTGGTACTCTCAGATGCTCTTGGACCACGGTGAGAGGATACTTACCTCAGCTAAGTCCATCTTCGAGGAGGCCGGTGTGAAGATCTCAGTAAAGGTTGCAGGTATCCACTGGCACTACGGGACCCGGTCCCATGCCCCCGAGCTCACAGCAGGGTACTACAACACACGATTCAGAGATGGTTACATTCCTATTGCGCAAATGCTAGCACGCCATGGTGCCATCTTCAATTTCACTTGCGTTGAGATGCGCGACCACGAGCAGCCACAGGAAGCTCAATGTTTACCAGAGAAGCTTGTTAGGCAAGTGGCTATGGCTACACAGAAAGTAAACGTACCACTTGCCGGTGAAAATGCTCTGCCAAGGTACGATGATTACGCACACGAGCAGATCTTGGAAGCATCATCTTTGAACGTTGAGGGCAACACCCAAGGCAACCAGATGTGCGCGTTCACATACTTGAGGATGAACCCGCACCTGTTCCAGCCCGACAACTGGAGGCGTTTTGTGGCGTTTGTGAAGAAAATGAAGGAAAAGGGTAGCCACAAGTGCAGGGAAGAGGTGGAGAGGGAAGCGGAGCATTTCGTGCACATTTCAACACCTTTGGTGCAGGAGGCTGCTGTTGCTCTGATGCACTAAGAAATTCAGGATAAGGCTATTAGCTAGGTTGTTGCTTCTACCGCAGTCAAAACTAGCGATAAGTCCTAAAACGCACGGTGGTTTACAAGGTACAAACATAACGGCAAGAACAGTTGCTGCTCCATTCCCTGGTTAATTTCTCCGTAGCTGATCAATTCAAGTTGTGGCTATGGAAAATGAGTAGGGGTGTGGCGTGTGTGTACCATAAGATTTTGGGGGGTAAATGTAGGGATTGTTGTATCAATACCCCCAAAGAAGTATATCTATCCTCTTGATTCAACATGATCTTACACGAATCATGTATGGTTTCCTCTTTCCTGTACAAGTGTTGAAACGTACAATGCCATTGGTCAAATAAGATGTTACACTCTTCCATCTATGGCTATGGAACTGTGCTTTTCGTATGCCTCTTGTTTACCAGATTACTTGCATCCTCATCAAATATTATAACTGTTCAAACTTGATTATCTTTAATTTACTGTAGTTGCTCACGCGATTAAGTTTTTCTTTTAACTTGTCTGTGAAGAACCCCTCGTTGGTATCCTGATTGGATGGGAATGGATAACTACTAAATTTCAAGGTATTTGGAAAGTGGAAGTGGATGATTTTCAGTTGGAGATGATTAGAAATAGATTAGGCATGATATATATTCATCATTTCTAATCCTACCATTTTAAGGATTGAAATGGATAAATTTTGTTCACGAGTAATCTTTAATCATTTAATCAAACATAAATTATCATTTCTCACCCACCTTAAAATTAGAAAGTTTTGAATTCGAGTCCAATCCGATCCAATTTATCATAGTTTTGAAGTCATATTATTGAGAGCACTAATTGGGACTCATGTGGAAAGTATCTTACATCGAATGATGAAAATTTTGACACAAGTGTGAATTCTCATAGCTCAGCAAACTGTTCATGTCGACTTTAGAAACATGTTTTTATTTATGATTCAAATTCTGGAATCCTCCTCACCTTACTAAATATATCATTTTGTCTACTAATAATATGAGGTGTATGGTCCAAATTACAAGGTTTTATTTCATAATAATTTTGTCCATTTTACAATCACGGATGTTCAAAGTATTTCACACAACTCAAGTCACCTTCAAATGATTCAAATTTTTGCTTATTCTTAAACTCGGGACCCTTTGCATATTATCAATTAATTTTAGGATTAAATTTGAAAACTGTTATTAGTACTTCAAAAATCTCATTCTACACCCCTCACAAGTGTATTTTCTTTCTAATTATAGAAAGTTTGGAGTGCAAAATGAGATTTTTGAAGTGTCAAAACAATTTCCTAAAATTTAATCTTCTTCAATAAACACTGTTCAGTTAGCATAACCATGTGTTATAAGTTATATGTATGCTTCAAATTCTGTAACACATGTTACATTTTAATTATGAGTAATGCTAGTTAGGCCAAATTTATAAACTAAATTTACAAACCAAATGATGTGTCCCCAATAAGAAATAAGTTCGTCAATCAACATTTAAGTAATAATCTAGTTATCAGCTTCTATGTTATTTTATTTACACATGTGGTCTACAAATTTGGTGTTCCTAGTATTACTCTTTAATTATACATACCCGTCACAATATGAAAGTCATCACTCAAGTTTTTCTCGTTCCCAAGCCAAGTGCGTGGTGGTGCATAATCCTCTCCCTTCAAAGGACCATGTCAAAATTTGCCACTGGCATACAAATTGTCACCCAATGCCCATTTCAAGAGCAGAAAAACACGCTGCAGAAAGACTCGCTCCCAAATCCATGTGTGACTCACTCCTATTTGGAGCCATAATTTAGTATATATTACCTTTACAATCCCAGTTTTAACATCAATCAATAAACGTTTACATTAAGAAAACCCCAGTTACACACACAAGTATTCTCAATAGTCCTATAATTTTCTTGAGAGGAGATGTCTAGCATGCAGCAACCATTCAACGCAGGCCAATCCCAAGGCCAGGGCCAGGTATGAAATTGATGCTTCCGATTCAAGCACGGTTGACGGCACTGCTATTTCCGCCCACTTGTCATATTTTCCCGCTCATCTACTTGTGAAAATGTTCAGAGACAAATGAATATAAGGTGAGTGGGAAAATAAAACAAGTGTGCGCGTGCAGTAACACTCTTTGAGCATCAGAATATAATTTATTAGATGATGGCCAGACCATGCGCCATTTTACCCTGCAATTTGTGAAACAATGCCATACATTACTGTTGTTGGTGGTGCAGGCTAAGGCAGAAGAGTGGATGCAGTCCACACAGGAAACAGCGCATCAAGCTAGGAACGCGACATCTGATGCAGCTCAATCAGCCAAGGAGTCTGCCCAGCATGGAAAGGACCAAAGTGCTGGATTTCTTCAGCAGGTTTAACTATATATTTCTTTTTACTAATCGTTAACTCCTTCACTCTTTTGACGTGCATGAGAAATTTAAGCGATGCTTTAGGGACTAAACTAACTGAGTTTAGGGGATCACATATCATGTAACGAGTAAAGTCCCACTTGTTGCATCGATTAATTACTGTACCTAGTCATCAATAAACGCGTAAATTGCCTAGTAATCAGCTAATGTGGTCAAAATATGTTATCCCTCTAATATTTTCGATTAATTTTCAAATATACGCTGACTATAATACAAACAAGTGGGATCGCCTTTCGGTATATTTTTGTATGCAATAATGAATGATCATCATGTATGCTTGGATTTAGTCAATATATAAATCTTGTAAACTTTCTGATAGAGCTATTCTCAAATGTTACAGACTGGAGAGCAAGTGATGAACATGGCACATGGTGCTATGGACAGCGTGAAGAACACACTGGGAATGAATGAAAAGAAATGAAGAAGATATATAACAGCAGCAGCCACATCTTCCTGTTATGATGTGTGAAGATGTTTTATTAACTAATTAGCATCTACGATGGAGTTAGGGTTTTGTTAATTAGGAGCATTCCTTGCTCTTAATTCTTTATCATTCCGGACACTCGAGTTAATTTGTCTGTTAGAGTCAGACTGAGAAGTCTTTGAAAGAAGGCTCATGCCATCAGTTGTAATAAACTCTACAGATATATTCTTTAGTTTATTTTCCATTTTTCTTTCACATTACAGCAGTCAATGTAATAAAAGCTCAATACTACTGCAATAGTGCAATATTGCCATGCAATGCAAACAAAGTTGGTTTCTTTAATTACCTTTGTTAATTAATCTCCATCATATATCTGTTAGGTATTACATCCAATAACCGTTGATCACTTTGTGTAATAGGTAATACACACACACACACACACACGTATATGTATATAAGATAGTTTAATCCTAGCAACAGCGGTATTCAGTACTGCTCAATGCTAATACCTAATTCGTCCATACTTCTTCTCCAAGTAAACTACTAGTAGATCCCTTTTAAATCCTCTAAACTGATTGTTCAATTAGCTGTAACAAATTTTCCTGTGTCTCATGACCTTATTATCTTGAACAACGTCATTATTGTCCACCAAGGTCTCATGTTCAACAAGGTTCCAACCATCTTCAACAACGGCAAAGCTCTTCACCTGGCTTAGCCATACGACAGACCATGACCAACCTCAACGTCGTCATGATACCGAGATATATTTCCCACGGTAGAGAAAGTTTTAAGCCGGATGTCTGGCCATCATCAACAACAGTAGCAGCAGCAAGAAAACTGACCGGGCGCTTCGGTGTAACAATATCTGGTTCTGAAACAAAGAAACTCCAAAAGTCTAAGCAAACCTCAAAAACTTGGTGTCATCCACATATGAGAACTTTATAAGATATTCAAGACCAATCACATGGGATGGTCCAAGCACCCAACGTGATGTCTTGTAAAACAAGTGAGAAACAGTGCCAAATTGTTAACGATTTCCGCGATGTCTTGATTTGTATGATCCAAGTACAAGGGACCGGTACTCCGTAACCACCCGATGACCGCATTATACATCTTAACACGCACCCCATCCGGTGGTGATGCAATATTAGAAGTAAGTGCTACGATGACAACCTGTGTGAAACATTGAAGGGTGAAATTCTGGTATGCATGAGTGGGCAAAAGATGCACAAGGATATCAACCAAACGGTTAATTTGGTCGAGGTGAAACCATGAGAGGAAAGCATGCAACGTGGAAAACGTTGCAGGTATAACCTCGGGTTCTTGATGATTCTATTGTTGTGAATGGTCGCATAAATAAAAAGGATGTGATATACACACACCTTTTTTTACTTCTTTCACATAGTTTTAGTTTTCAGTCGGCGAATCGGATGAATTGAAGAAGATCAACGGACATAAATTAACAAGGGGTGTGTGAGAAGTAAAAAGATGTGTGTGGATAGCACACCCCAAATAAAAACTGAGATTACTATAACTTCTCAATGTCACTACAGCCTCTTTGCACTTCGTATTTGAGTAATATTTTTGCCTTGAAAGGTTCAAAATGTCCATACAATTAACACACAAATGGGATTCAGAATAATGTCTTTCTCTCACCATGCAAACGACTCATGTTTCAAATTCTAAAACAATATAGTGTTGTGTACAATTAGAGGCCTCTTGATCATGAGGTAGATTAAAAAAGAAGTTAGTCATATAAAGTTCGAGGCCTCTTCATGGGCTAACGTGATATGAAAATTTGATATTGATAGTGTGGCTTTGGCTTCTCCTAAATTGATGTTTTTGTGTGTTTAAAACGATAAAACGATAATCAATCGCACAATTTGATCCAAACTAAAACTGTGTTTAAGTGTGATTATACAGCGACTTAGAAATAAGCCTCACATATAACGCCAGCATGTCATCAATTTAACAAAATATTAGACATTCAAATTGACAAAATGCCTTCACTTACTAGATTTTTTTAAGATTTTCAATAAATAAAAAATAAATTTGTTTTTTTGAGTAAAAAATTAAACAAATTTGATTGAGACATCCATAACTGTCAAAGGGTAACGACAGTAACGGTAAAGCTAGCTCCTTCTCAGAGATTCCTCTCCCCTCCACTAACTACACGAAGAGCCGAGCACATATTCATCTGCAAAAATCTCCAAACCTCTACAAAAACCTCCTCCATTTCTCCACAAAATTACATATCTGCCGCCACCACCCTCTCTCTTCCACTCTGCAACTCAGCCATGGCGTCTCTGCAAACCCACCATTACCATCTTCAACTCCACAGCCGCTGCGTCTCCTCTCTCACTGCCCCCAAACTCTGCAACCTTCGATTCCCCAACCTTTCTCTGCGCTTCCCGGCTTCATTGCCCGGGAAAGTTAGGGTTTTTACTCTCAGAGGAAATGGGAGGGGCAAGGATGGAATTTACTCGTTTTGCTGCGTTTGCAGAGCTGGTGCTGAGATTGAAAAGGTTGATGGTGAGGAAGGAAG